GCCCAGGAGCCCACAGGCCCTGGGTCCCTGGTCTCTCCCCTGGACAGGAGACCTGAGCCCACCCAGAGCGGGGGGCAGGCGGTGGAGAAGGGAGGCCCTCTCCAGCAGCCCACGGCCTGCGCCTCTGAGCCTTGGGGAGGGCAGCTCATTCCGGCTCCTCAATCCTCTGCAGGCCCCCGCCCAGGGAGTGATCTCATCTATCACCACATCACAAATGACCCCAAAATGCAGCCTCTTGAAAAGTGTTATCTGAGTTTCTGAGGCGAGTCCAGGGACAGTGGCGCCAGGCAGCTCTGGTTTGGGGTCTCCGGGAGGCTGAAGTCCAGCGTCCAGTCCGGTGGCACCATTGGGGGCTCAATGGGGCTGGAGGACCCCCTTCCAAGGTGGCCCCCTCACACGGCTGCCGGCTGGGGGCCTTGTGCCTGTTCGAGCACCCTCAAGCTGGCACCCCAGCCCCCCCAGAAGCGAAGGCCTCGGACCAGCCCACTCGCTGTCAGACAGCAAGGAGAGAGGTGATTTGTGCTCCTGCATCCGGGTCACCAGAGCCGGGGTGGAAGCTGCACATGGCAGGCATGGGGCAGACTGCTGGCTCATCCCTGGCAGGGTGACCACCGAGGTGGGCAGACCCAGCACACCCTGACCCCAGAGAGGCTCTGGAGTGGGGGGCTCCACAGCATGGCTCCTGGACCCCAGATGCCGAGGGCTTTCCCTTGGTGCGTCTCTCCCATGCCCACTGGTACCGGTCATACCTGCCCCTGGCCTGTGCTGACCAGCCTCTGGCTACCTCAGTTCTCACCCCACCGCCCAACCTGCCCTCTGGGGGCTCACTGTCCTCACACCTGCCCAAGCCCTGGCCATGCTGCCCTGACCACCAGCCCGCAGCGTCCCAGACCTCCTCAGGCAGGCCCCCGAGGCTATTTTTACACTTCACTGGGTATCTATTTATATCACTCCCCATCTTGAGTTTCTGGTCATCTCAGAATGCCCGTTCCACAGCCTCCGGGCCCACACAGGCCAGCGGGCTCTGAGCAACTCGAGCCCCTGGAGACCCGGAACTCACCTCAACAGGCAGCCCAGGGCAGAACCCCACAGCTGACTCAATTCACCTTGACAGAAGGGGATGGCTTGGGTCTGAGGGAAAAGTCTAGGTACCGTGGACTTGAGGCCTAGGGGTCACCAGCAGAGTGGCTGGCTCCCAGACCCGGCCGCCAAGGGCGGGCCAGAGGCTCAGTGGGGGTGGGGGCCCAGGTCAGGCCACAGACAGGCCCAGAGGCCTCCAGACCCAAACTCATCAATAAGTGGTTATTCCTGAGAAAGCCTGGGCTGCCCCAGACAAATCAACAGCTAGGCCCCAGCCCCTGGGTGTACTCAGCTGCCCTGAGGGGCCTCTGTGGCCAGGGCCCGCCTGCAGGCAGGGCCTTGAGACTGGAGCTGGGACTCGCCCAGCAGGGACACCTGAAGACGCCCTTGGGGAACCTCCAGTCCCTGCGCTTATTAATTAGGTTGGTTCCCAAAGGTGTCCACACCTGGGGAGCTGGGGTAACCAGAGCTGCTTGCTTCCGGCCCACAAGCTGCTAAGGCCACAAGCCGCGCGGTCAGCGTCTCCGGGGACTGCCGGGGACGCAGCAGGTCTTGCAGAAACCTGAGGCCAGGGCACTCTTGGGGCAGCTTAGAGCCCAGTGCCCAGGCCGGCCAGGCCTCGGCTGCTCACCACTCTGGAAGTGGGAAGTGACCTGCTTTTGAGCCAGTGTCCGCAGTAGGGCCTGGGCCCACACCCACCCGCAGCTACGTCCTCCCGTCCACGCGCCTACAGGAAAGACCTTTATGTCTGAGGTTAATTCCCAAAACGTGCCCCCGGGGTCTTTTTCACCTCTCACAGGTCCCCAAAGAAGGCCAGGCGTGGGCCAATGGAGGCCCCACCTGGGCGACCATCTTCGGTGGCTCCGGCAGCTCAGGGGTTCCGCCAGCCCCCGTGGCTCTGGTGAGCCCCGCATCCTGGAGGCGAGAGCCACAAAGCTCAGGGCAGGGTAGGGCGGGGTCCCCACTCCAGACAAGGGCCGGCCTAGCTCCTCTGGCGAGGGGGCTGCACTTCGGAGGTCTGGGGTTGCGGGTCATCCGGGCAGGCTGGGCAGGCGGCTGCCCAGAGATCCTGGGGTGCGGGTGGGGAGGAGTGGGAGCTAGAGCGGGGCTCAGGGGCAACCAGAGGCACTCGCCTGGTTTTGATTCCAAGGAGAAGACAGTGGCCACGCTGCCCTGCCCTCCCCCAGGCCTGTGCCCCATTCTGGAATCTGCTAATCCTGGGACCCCACCCCAGACACTCCTGCAGGCTGGCTACACAGCTGGGGCCACACACAGGCCTCCCCACCCCACCCCAAACAGACTCCCACCAGTAGACTCAACAGATTACTGGGTGAGAACAAAAGCAACTTCCTTTTTCTGTTGTTCCTTCCCGGACCTCTCACTCCCCCACAGGGGGCCTGTCTCAGGTTGTACAAAACACTAATGTGCTAACACTCTGGAGGCCAGGTTGGAGCCCCTGGGGGGTCCTAGCCCCCTTTTCTGGGGCCCCAGGGGTGGCTGCCCCAGGAGGGGTGTGGGGTCTGGGAATCTGAAACTGGAGGAGTTTGAAATACACATTCCGGGCTGTAATTTCAATCCCAGAAATGAAACTGACCGGACACTGAACCCAGCTGCCAGGGGCTCCTCCCCCTTCCCTCCCAGGTCTCTCCCCCCCCCAGGGGGAGCACAGAGGTCAGGGAGGCTCATCCCCAGGAGAGCAACCCCACCGGTGCCCGAAGGGTTTTCAGGACAATGAGGCTTCAGCTCAGTCACCACCCCAGGGTCCCCCCATGCCGCCCCATGCTGACTTGAGCAGGGGGAGCACCTACCGAAACACCCCAGGCCTCTGTGGGCAGGCCTGCCCCAGCCCCATATACGGGACCTCTGGCCGAGACCCAACAAGCCCCAGCTGGAACACTAGCTCCCTCCTAGCCGCCCACCTCCGAGCTCACCCAGGTGGGGCCAGCCCCCCAGCGCACCGGGGTTCCACCCCACAGACCCTGGCAGAGGCTGCCCAAATAGGTCCACCCTCTGAGGAGCGTTCTGAAGCCCAGGCCTCCTGTGTAGCAGGCCTGGGGCCCCAGCCCTAACTCCACCTGGCCAGTGGGCGCTCAGGCCCTGGGGACACTGAGAGACATCTGAGATCTGAACCCGCGTAAACATTTTCTTCTCAAAGCTCGAGAACAAGCCTAGAGGGAGCTGCAGGCCTCTGCTTGCGGGCTCCCCTGTGCCCGCAGCCCCGACACCGGTTCCCAAGCAGGAGGAGGATTCCTCTGCTGGCCTGTTTCTGTCTGATGGCCTTGGTCCTGGCCTTCCCCACACCGGATCCGGGTTTGGGGTGTGGCTCATAGGCAGCTCCCCCCCCCTGCCAGACTGGGAGCTAAGTCAGAGGCTGGTGATATTCAAACCCGGGCCTCCAGACCCCTAGTTCAGGGCCCAGCAGCCGATACGAGCACTGGACTAAGAGTCAGCAGACCTGAGTTTGGATCCTGCTTAAGGGGCTGCTCCTTCAGGCTGGGCACAACTTGCCAGCCCCCGCGACTGGGTGGCACCGCCCCTCCCCCAGCTCCTAATACCGCTTGCTTCTGCTTGCTTCTGTGAGACTCGGAGATACTGGAGACAGCGGCCCCATCCCCGGGATCGAAGGACTGGGTGACCTGGGCCCCGCAGCCAAACGGGTCGGGTGCTCCGAACCGGGCCAGACCTGTTACCTGACTCTCCCGAGGACAAAGTGCCCAGCTCAGCCCACCCCTCCCGGGCGGTCCAGGCGCCAGGCGGCGCAGGGGGAGGGGAAGTGAGGGCCAGAACTCTCCCAGGAACCGGGATTTCTGGGGCTCCGGGAGGGCGGGTCCACCTCACCACCTCCACCTCCCGCCGCCCAGCTACCCCGGGCGACCACTGGGCCACCTTCGCGAAGTCCCTCGGGTCCTCCTGGCTCGCGGCCCCCGAGGCCTCCCGGAGTGGCCACCGCCTCCGGGCGCCGGCGGTCAGTCCCGTTCCCCCTCGCTGCGCCCTGCCCAGCGCGGGACCCTCTCCCACCCACAACCTCCGGTGGCCCCGCGACTCCGCAGCCCGACTGAAGGTGCGGCCCCGGGGCCTGGCCACGACTTCCGTCCCCGCGCATTTTGGTTTGCTCCCTCTCCCCCCCAGACGCGGGAGCGCTCTGACCCGAGATCCCCATGTGGGGGGCCAGGAACCCCAGAGGCCACCGCAGGGTGGACGCTCAGACGGGACGCGCGAAGGCTCGCGAAGGGGCGGCTCGCCTCCGGGGAGCGTCGCCACTCGTGCCCGCGCCTGCAGGCCCGGGAGGGTCCCGGCTCCGCGTCCGTGGTCACCGCAGCATCCCCAGCCCCGAGGCGAGGGCGGCAGGTCCCGCGGCGGAGTCGGGGCCGCCACGTGACCAGTCCTCGTGTCCCCGCGGGTCCGGAAGGAGCGCCCCCAGCCGCCCCGCTGACCGCACCGCGTGGGCCCGGGT